TGTTTTACCCTCCCAGGTACGTTTAATCAGCGTAATTGGAACAACTTTTGTACCTTCTACATTGGTAATTGTAGGTCCTTTGTAACGATCGAAGGTTACAAAAACCGCTATAGGTAAACAAGGAGGTCCATGATCTTCAAACAAAATATCTTGGACAGTTCCTAATAAGCTATTAACAAGTCCAGATTCTGTTCAAATATTTGCTGTAAGCATGATGTGTGCTTCTCTTGCCAACAACAGCTTTGATTCAAGACTATGTGCAGTATCTGAGTCGGCTCTTTTAGCATCATTATCGCTAGTGTGTATAGCAATAATTTTTGCAACTGAAACATTTAAAGCTCGGAGTTTGTCTATATTTACAACATCCACATTAGACCATTTTGGTAGAATATAAGTAGTTTCTGAAAACTGTTCATGCTCTGTTTTTGATAACTTTTCTTTAAATCGTGTAGTAAGTAACTTCTAATCTTCTATTGTAGATTCACTATCGCGGAGTTGTAAAAGAATGTTTCTGAAACTCCTTTGTTTTTCAGAATTTCCAGATTGTTGCTGAACTATGTCAAGTTTGTATACCTCTTTGAATTGTTTGTATGCAGCATGACTGTTATTTGACAATGGATCTTTCTTAATACTAGTATACATTGGAAGATCGAGTACTGGTGGAAGTTGACCAAAATCACCAACCATAATAACAGATCTACCACTGAAGAGTTCGTTTCTGTGTTCAGGAAAAGCTTGTTGTAGACGCATGTCAATTAAAGCAAGCATACGTTGTCCTACCATGCTTTTCTCATCTATAATCACGTATATTACGCCTTCTAACCTTCTTTGTAACTGTTTTAGTCACTCTCCATTTATATCCAAGTTATCATTACCGTTATTTATTGCAATTGAAAGTGCTGAGTGGATTGTTATACCACTAATATTAAATGCCACATCACCTGTTAGAGCAAGCACAAGTACTGGTGACTTAGACTCAATTTCTGCCATTTGATGAAGTGTCTGTCAAACTATATTTATAAGGTATGATTTACCCATCCCTGCTGTTTCTAATATTATAATTTTTAGTGGCTCGACATGACAGCCTATGAGCATACTACGATAATGTGATTTGATTTATTTGAATACTTTCATTTGATTCTCATTCAAGGTTTGAGGATTCATAACATCTATGCATATATTCACATTTTTATCTGTTTGACAAATTCTGCTAGATGCTTGACATATGAAAGTGTCAACATTCGCAAGATCAGTATCAGAATAGCATTGTCTAGCATCATCAACCCACCGATGAGTAAGATCAATACTACGAGATCTCAGGTCACAGGAATTATTTATGATTGCATTTGGTCCTATTTCTGCCAACAACATCCAATCCAATCTAAATTCTTTCTGCTCATCATCATCAGGTTGTTCGCTCTAATCATTATCATCAGTAGATTCAACTTCATCTATATGGGGTCCAAGTAAGTTGATTGGGTCATTATAAATATTTTCGTAATAATGATTATATAAGGTTGATCATTCAACAGTGCCACTGTTAGTTAGTTGCTCAATATCCCTATGTGGAATATGCAGAATGACTTTTATGCAGCAAAACTCCTCCCACTGGGGGCCATTATATAAGGGTGAAGGCCATAAAAAGATACGTACTATATTTTCATGCTTGTATTTATTCCATTTATTTCTGGTAAATTTATGTGTTAAATTAAGCTGAAATAATGAGAAATTTTCATATTCTGTAGGACGTTCTCAGTATAATTTTAGAGGAGATTGCACCGTACGCTCTACATTTTCTGTACTATCATATTCTCCATTCTCTCTACTACCAGTACCACGAACCCATCGTGATACTTCTTTATTAAGGTTCAAGGAGACAAATACATGACTAGAGTGGTAGAGTGGAATGCCTAAAAGAAGGTGACAAGTTTCTTGTGCAGAAATATCACGTTCTGCGACACTATGTAGTAGTAGTTTTTGGACTGATGAAAGTAATGGATTGTCTGGATTGCTGTTTTATAAAATTTGATTTAATATTTTAAAAAAAGTTGCTGACTGTGGTTCCGCCTTGCTTGCATACTTTGAAATGTATTGTAAAGCAGCATGAGTACTAAGAATTGGCTTTATGTCTACGTTTACCCTCCAACCCTGTAGTTGAAGTCGATTATGTGGATTGATTAATGGATCATTTCTTGCCATAATGACTTCTGGTCTGCCATGTTGATCATCACGCATAATAGTATGATCAATAGTATCCTTTGGATAATCGAACCTACAGGATTGTTGGCCTGATCGGTTTATACAAAAACAATATGAGGGGCTACATCTAGTGTGTCTTTGCAATTTATTAACCAATTCTATGTAATCTTGTAGATCGTTATTTAGTTCTCCACTGCTTTTTTGACATGGGTGATGTTCTGAAACCGGTGCATTGGGTTCAGGGTTAATCGTAGAAACCAAAGTATCAATATATTGCATCACTTCTTCTATTGCTTTTTCATCACTTTTTATCAGTGCCCAGTCGATTATAGGCGCATTTCGTCATTTCTCGATTCCATGCATGTGAACACTACTGCGATGCTGCCATTCAAATCGATACCACCAATCTTCCAAATCCCATTGCTGCTTTATTACATCATTAAAGTAAGTTTCGAAGCACTTGTTAAAGAACCAGGCTGCAATATGTGGATTATCAATTACATTTTGTCGGCATGTTTCTTGGACAGAATTGTTGCTAGACGCAATAAGTTTATAGAGCTCTGGCTAATAAAAATCAGCGGCACTGAATATAAAGAACACAAGACCTCTTGAACCTATTTGTTTTATCATGTCTGACAATTCACAATGACGTGCCATCCAAAATTGTCTAGATCTGCATAAACCTTCACCGTATCTCATAATGCGATCAGCAACGTGTTTATTGCCTTGAGCAATCATGTTTTGAATATCTTTAACCGTAAGTTGTTCATCGCTCAGTTTTTGCTTAACGTATACCTTTCTCTCCTGTAGTGCCCGTCATCGTATTATAGAATTCAGTGCAAAATATCTCCAGCGCGAATGTCGTGCAAATCTCCCATCTTTATACTGAAGCAGATGTTTGAAATATTCAGCTGGATTGATATCTCTAATACGTTCGGATCGAAGATCAGCACATCCTGTTGGGTAAAGAGTTGGAAAAGCACGTGAAATATAGCCTGGTGTTCTAAATTCGTTAATAGGTGTATTTTCTATATTTGGCCACATTAAAGGATTACTCATGCTTTGCATATGGTTAAGAGTTTCGTTAATGGCGATATCTTCTCTATAGACTGGTGGAAGAGATGAAACAAAGATGCGCATAATTATATCATCTTCAACTTTATTATCTGATTCTTCAGCAGCTATATCATTGTTTGTGAGCTGATCATCTACGTAACCATTTGTAGGTAAGGACTGAAGAACTTCTTCATCAATAGTAATTTCAGCATAGTAGTGGTTGTTTTTTTTTAACCATATTAATGCACAAGTAACCTTTTCATGATAGACTTGGAAGTCCCTAAAAGAGGCTGACCTTGCAGACTGGCGACGTACAACTAACATATCTAATGACGAAGGGCTTCGGAGAAGACGGGTTGTGAACTCACATACGTTCTGTAGAAAATTTATTACATTTCCACGATATCCATACTGCCCACCACGAAGTTTATAGACTAACATTATGAGAAAAACTTGCGCGATTAACATTTCTTCTATTTCCGTAAGTCCTTGCAATTCTTCAGGTACTTTGCCAGGATCTATGTCATTTCCACTAGAGAATCTGTTTGGTAATTCTTTTTCACTGTAACATCAACGACACTCCACCATGACAAGAATTATTGATGAAAAGCTCTCATTACATATGGGACAAAATACATGTTTAATTTTATCTATTTTAATACAGAACTTATGTAGTAGGTCTTGATCAAGTTCGCTAAGAACAGCTACAGAGTGTTGTTCACTGCGCGTAATTGTACTAATTTGCATCTCCTGAACATTGGCGTTTTGCTGTTCTTCAATATTTAATCTAATTTCTTGTCTCATTTGTTTATTGTCATCATTTTCATCGCCTGCTAATTCTTGTTTTCGGCGTTTTTGATATCGATTACGATAGCTTGTAAGACGTGCTTCTCGCTCTTCAGGCATTTCTATAGCCCTTTTTTCATACTTTCTTTCACGATCTCAAATTCATCGAATTTCGCGTTGCTCGGGTGTTTCATTTTTTCTTTTTTCACGTTTTCTTTGGGTATCGTGATAAACATTTTGGGTATTCATTTTTTATATAACTTTTATTGAAATTTCAGATGTGTGGAATTTTTTTTAATTTCGAAATGTATACGCGTCTCTTTAACGTTCACTTGATTTGATATAATATAGTATTACACACAATATTTATACATTACACCTGTTCATTTTTTTTATTTTATTTAATTTTAATTTATTAATTTATTTTATTTATATTTTTTTATATTACAAAAAGTCGAACGTTTAAATCATTTTTATTAAGCTGCCTTGAAGTTAGAAACTATACCTTCTTCTCTACAAGACATTAAAGTGATTTGATAATTGGTAAAGTAATTCGAAAGTTAGATGAGTGCTACTTCTTAATATTCAAAAATTTTCTATCTAGATTTAATCTGTTTAAATTATGCGATTTAAACTTTTTTTTCTTTTTTATAAAGGTTCTCACAAAGTTTGTAACTTATAAACATTAGGTTATAATGGTATATTTATTATTTTCTATGTTCTTACGATTTTTACTTTTAAAAATTTTTTATTTTTTTTTGATCTTTTTAGTATACTTTGCGAATGATCTTAGATTCAATATTGAATAATAATACAAAGTTTAGTAGCATTATCACAATAGGTGACTTTAATAATTATAACTGTAAATGGCCAGATAAAAGATCTCTCACAACATCAGATCCACTATATACTATACCTGTTGCAAATTAAGGATTCTGTATTAATTAAATATAGTTTTTTTTTTCAAATATCCAAACTGCCCATTAGAAATAAAAAATACGCTCGCTCTTTAAATTCTCCTTTTAATGATACACACTCTCAACCATAACTGTACCCGGGGTCTATTATATATTTTAAAATTAGTGGAATATAAGAGACCCAGGTCTTTTATCTGGCAATTTATGTTAGTTATTGGTATTTAATATCACAGATGATGTTTAAATCAGATAATACTGAAATTTGAATGCATCGTGTTAGCCTTTTTTAAAGAAAAGTTAGGATTTAGGTTAGTGCTATCAACAAAACAGTTTAGGTGAATTTGAGAGATTGTATTTTTTCTAACCAAGAACTTCAAATTTCAGTATTATTCATAGCATTTGATGAAAACATACGAAAAGACGAAAAGAATTTTAAATAAAGTTATTGATCTAACAATAAAAATGAGTTATTCTTTATAGATTATAAAAGTATTAAAAACATTTCTTACGTGTATAATAATATTTAAGTAAAGCTTTAAAAGTCGATGTTAATATATATTATATATCACTATTATCTCACAATTTGATTAGTCGATTGGCAATAAAATCACAAGATGGTCTACAAAATCTAATGAATCATCATACAAGTTAGCTATGTTATTTTTTATATATACATGGCTCTCGATATAACTGACCAGTGATATAACGGATATTGCTTAATACGGAAAATTATAATGGATCAAAAATTTATGATTTACTAATATATTGGGATTTTGGTACTACAGAACTTCTGATATAATGAAATAAAGGACTGAAACTATATCGAGAACCATATATATTTGAGATTAATATAGGTATATTTCAAAATTTAGATTATGAAACCCACTTATGTGTTCTAACAAAAACCTTTATTATTAAATTTTAGCATAAATTATAATCTTTTTTTAATCTTAAAGCTAATCAAATTTCTTGCTAAATTTTAGCATAAATTATAACCTTTTCTAACCCTAAAACTAAACTTTAACATTAAATTGAGTTTAGTGTTTTGGTTTACAATTTATATACTATACAAATTTGTAAATTAATTACCAGTAATTAATAATATCTAATACTAAATAGTAATTTTCTTTTTAAATATCAATATTATAATTGTTAAAATTTAGTAAATTAATTCTAAACATTAAAATATATTTATTTATTATTTGTTTATAAATTAATTATTAGTTATTAGGCTCCGGACACACAATGCTGTGCATTTACCTAGTGTATAATGCGGGCCAATTTTTGTCAATCATAGCCGTTGACGAGGTTCTGTACTTAGGTTGGTGGCGCAGACAAAATTCTTAAAACTCGTTAAGGTTAGGGTTAGTTTTAATAGAAAATTGTCCAACGAAAATTTTTTTTAGAGCACAGAATGTGGTTACTTATGCTGATTTTTGAGTTACGAACGTTTGTTTTGAATCTTCTTGATTGTGTTACGTTACACCTAATCTTGAAGGCTGATTCGTACACATTTTCCGAGTGTGAGCATTATTCAGTGACATTGGTAACGAGTACCTAGCCATGGCAAAGAAATAACTGTAACACGATTTGGAAAAATCAAAACAAACGTCCGTTTTTTCAAATATCGCTTATTTCTCGAAAATTTTATAAGAAACCGCCTTCTGATTCTAACATATTTTTTTTTCTCGAAGAATTTTGCTATATGCCGGTTAAAATCTAACCCTAATATAACATTAATCAAACTTTCAAGAATTTTTCGTTCATCACGTGACAAGTTCTTTCTTTGCCATGGCAAGGGTACTCGTTGGTAACTTAATAACATCAAAGTGAACCTGTATTTCCACAAAGATTTTAACATAAATGATATTTTAAAAAAAAGGAATCTCAATTTTTGGTCGAAAATAATAAGTTTCAGATAAATCTTAGTCTATTCGTTAAATAATAACTTTATCATATTATCGATGTAAACCAAACCCAGTAGTAGAATATGCATCACTGGCTAGCGAATCGTAAGACAAATAAATTGACCAGTGATTCAGGGGATTATTTCCATTGTGAAAATATTTCCCTTGCTATCATCTGCGCCATATTTGTTTCGTAAAATTGATTGGTCCTTAAGGTTTGGGACATGCAAGAAGAAATGTGCACAGGTTTAGGTCAAATTGGGTTTGGCACACGACAGTGGCCAACTCCTAAATCCAAATTAGGTAAAAAGTCAATACTGTCCCATACGGGGATATGCTTATGATTGGGTTTGTGTAATGCAATAATGTGATCCGTTGCATGAATTGCATGATTATTGATAAGTACAGAACATTAATTTGTAGCTTACAGTAATGTTTGTAACAGATAAAGAAGATAATCTAATATATATAGCAAGACTTTTATATGATTGGCTGTTTAAATCGATTTAATTTTACGTATATTATTTATACAGTTTAAAGTACTTTTTAAAAAATCAAACCACAATATATATATATATATATATATATATATATATATATATAAAGTTTTTATTAGGGGCGTAGGACTCCACTATCAAAAATAATCAAAATCACTTTTTGTTTTAGAGAAATTAGCTTAATAACGACTTCGAAAAATAAATGGGATTTAATTTTCAATTGTAGAGTTCTACATAATACTGTAATAAAATTTTCTATAAATACTTTATTTTTTATTTATTCTTTGTAGTTTAAAATTTTTTTAATAAGTACGTACGTACTTTAAACTGTATAAAAATGTAAATTTAAACAGTCAATCATGAGTATTTTGTATAAGCATTACTGTATTAGGCAAATACGTTCTTTAATGTTTATTATGACCTCAGCTCTGGTCTTAGTAGTTATGCTAAGCAAGTATAATACCTTAAGGAAAATCGTTAAATGATGCGTATCGGTATAGTTTAATAACTATATGACACTAAGTTACAGTAAATGACTAGTCAAAGTGCTTCATATTAACTTCATATATATTTCATTTCTATCTCTTCTCTTTACAAGTTTGCTATTACAACTGGTGTTAACGTTATAGCTAAATCATGCTCCTTTCTCCATTTAGTATGTTATACAGTACGTATCACAACTCTTTATTACGCAAGTGATGTGATTAATTGATTAAGGATGTATCAAAATTGAACGAGGCACATACAAGACGAGCTTTGTTTAATAATGAATGTGAAGGACTAAGATGAGGCAGGACCAACGTGAGGTCAATTAGTATTTAAAACCCGTCAATGATTAGTAATCTTAAAAATCCTAATTTACCTCACGTTGGAACCAACTTCATGTTGATTCCTTATAATTGTTTACCCCGGGATGGCACATAACAATGTCCAATTGGTAGCAATTTTTTTGGACATATATCCAGTTAAATTGGTCATACTGTATATCAAAAAAAATTGATACCAAAAATATATTTCCAACTACTCTTTGATTCATCTCTTTCTCGTACCATGGAACCGAAAGAAAAAATTTGTGAACCCGAGTACAATTGGCGCGAATTTAATCTGGGTACGATTTTCACTATACAAAAGGGTAATGTATAAATATAGAAAAAACGAAAATATACTTCCATACGGACTATGTATAACAAATTCACAATCTAATACTCTGCGTTACCACCACAACATACGTACACTACGTAAGTACGTACACACGTTCATACCTTATTTCGTTTTAGCTTCCTTAGCTATTATTACATAAAATGGCCATAGAATTCTTTAAGAAACTTTCTAATGACTTCACAAATCTTCTTGAAAATGCTGAAGATTATAATGTGGTGATTGAAGTTGGTCAAATACCAACCTGTCAAATTTTTAAGGCTCATTCAATTATTTTGAATTCTCGGTGTCTTTATTTTCGTGATGAGTTGATTAAAACAAGTTATGATCAAGAGTCTGTTAAAAAAATTTGTATACCCCATATTTCTGCTGATAGTTTTAAATTTATTATTAAGTAAGTTACTGCATAATGACTTTTGTCAAATTATATTTTAAATTTGTAATTATTGTCGGGATAATGCTGGAATCAGATGATATTGAAATTTGAGATCCTGATTTGAAAGATAAACTCTTATTATAAATTAAACTCACATATACTCTTATTATAAATTAAACCCACATATACTCTTATTATAAACTAAACACTGCTAAAATTCGCATATACTCTTATTATAAATTAAACACACATATACTCTTATTAT